CGTGACACATTGTTACACATCAAAGTAAGGAAGCATCTCTAGCTTTTTAGTTTTTCATTGTTGATGCGCCACACCCTTTTGTGTCTTTAATTCATTTCATATTTCTAACTTTTATTTTCTGCATTTTTTTGTGGACTTATGCAGGATAAACCATCACTGTTTAGATCATTTCACAAGTGGTTGAAGCATGGAGGTACACTTCTAATTACTGATTACTGCAAAAGTGCAGGAAATTTATCATTAGGATATGCTGAGTACATACAAAAAGGAGGATATTGTATCCATGACATGAAAACATATTGTCAGGTATAGTAGCATTGCCATTAATAATGTCATCATTTAACTTCCCTATCCCACATAAAATTATGAGCAAACTTGAATGCAATTATATAGGTGTTTTTTTTTTTTTTATTGTTTTCCAATTATAATTAGAGTTTTACATCAATGGTATGTTGACCTTTAATATAAATCTTTATTCTACAAATCATCAAGATGAAACCTCAATTGATTGGAGAACAATACTAAAAGTATATATGGAATTCCATCCAAGTTTTGTCCTCAAATTCTTCATGTTAACATTTCTTTTATATATGTTGTTTGAATTCTAAATCATGTAAAGATGCTCGAGAATGCTGGATTTGATGATGTCATTGTTGAGGATCAAACAAATTTGGTATGTTAGAACCTATGATAATGGTTTGCTTAGATTTATTGTCAATCCTGATGTAGTACTAACGAAAGTATTACTTGAATACTTGTTTGTTTCAGTTCATGAAAACACTACAACGGGAGTTAAATGCCCTTGAAAGTAAGAAGGGTAATTTCATTGATGAATTCTCAGAGGTAGGATTCTTGTATTTTTTCTTTATCATGTCACGTGTTATATATTTTTAGTTTAGAGAAATGTTAATAATATACTTTAACATTATCTTTTGGATACACTTTTATTTGCTTGAATTCACGTGCTTCCCACTTCCCACCAAATATATCGGTCTAATTTTCAAACTAGTGAGATTTAAATGAATTTCAATCAATAAGAGAAAGAGTATTGTTATCACTTCTCTTTTAATTACTTATCAGATTTAATTTCAAAGTATTCATTGTTGGAATCATTTGTTTCAGAAAGACTACAATGAGATTACTGAAAGGTGGAAGGCCAAGCAGATGAGGGGTGCAAATGGAGAACAAATATGGGGCTTGTTCATTGCCAAGAAAAAATGATGCTTCATTCTCATGATATGACTTGTTATGCCTATATTTAGTTCACTATGAACAGTTTTCCGAATGATAGTTTGGATGATTACTTTGGTGTTATTTATAAATCTTGAAAAAATATTTAAGCGTTCTATCAAGATAAACGAAACTTCTATGCATCCACTTGTATTTGAATGTAATGTTTGCTACTTATGTCTTCTATGCTTAAAATAGATTTCAATATCCTGTTTTTGATTGTCTTGACAAATTAGGCCACTATAATAACTTGCCACCTATGAAATGCAATTTGAAAAGTAAAATGGTAAAATTAGTTTGGTTTTAGCTTCTATTGGGAAAAACCCAAGTCCCACATCGACTAGAGATTAGGCAATTAAATAGTATATAAGTGGAGAGCAACCCTCACCTTACAAGCCGGTTTTGTAGGGTTGAGTTAGGCTTCAATCCACTATTCTAACTTGGTATCAGAGCCATTTAGATCCACTTTAAATGAGTCACCCACCATTGATGCATGTGCCATAGGCATGAGGGGGTGTATTGGGAAAAAACCCAAGTCCCGCCTATCCTAGATCATTAAAAAGGGCCACCCACCATTTATCCACGTACCAAGCCCAATAGTGCTGGACGTGAGGGGGTGTATTGGGAAAAACCCAAGTCCCACATCGACTAGAGATTAGGCAATTGAATAGTATATAAGTGGAAAGCAACCCTCACCTTACAAGCCGGTTTTGTAGGGTTGAGTTAGGCTTAATCCACTATTCTAATATGGTATCAGAGCCATTTAGATCCACTTTAAAAATGGGCCACCCACCATTCATTGATACATGCACCATGGGCATGAGGGGGTGTATTTCAAGTCCCGTCAATTAGAAAAGGGCCACCTACCATTCATTGCTACATGCACCATGGACATGAGGGGGTGTATTCAAGTCCCGCCAATCCTAGATCATTAAAAAGGGCCACCTACCATTTATCCACGTACCAAGCCCAATAGTGCTGGACGTGAGGGGGTGTATTGGGAAAAACCCAAGTCCCACATCGACTAGAGATTAGGCAATTAAATAGTATATAAGTGGAGAGCAACCCTCACCTTACAAGCCGGTTTTGTAGGGTTGAGTTAGGCTTCAATCCACTATTCTAACAGCTTCTAATAATAGTATCCATGTATTGCTGGATTGTAGTGGTAGACTTGAATGATGGGCACCAATGTATTACTACAAGAATCAGGCCACTGTGTGCACAACTCACACTCATACCTCATATTAATTTGTTCATTGATGGAGTATATGATAGGTTTTTCTTTTTTCTTCTTTTCCTGTCACGGATACCATTGATCCAGAGACGAAGTATACGATAGATTAATAACAAGCTCAATACATCTCCTTCCTATAATAGTGAATGATGCTTTCCTTTGGGTTTTGATTCATGGCTATTGGTAATATATGATTGTTTGGATTTCCTCTAATAAAGTATGCTTCTATGATATCTATTCAAGAAGCACTTCATGGAACTCTATTTGCATGATTTAAGAGTTTTTGAAATGACATTGCTGCTAATTGGTATTGATACTATCATATACTCTCTTGAATTGTACTCCAATGGATAAATTTAGATTGTACTAGCTCTTGAAGATTGTTATTTATGATCTTAATAATGTCTAAATACTATGTAACTTTCTACTTTATAGGTTGAGTTATACATTGTTATAAATGGGTTGATACCCCTAATATCAGTTATAATATAATTCTTTTACTGTCCAAAATTTTTTTTTTTTGAAATGTTGGTATTAATAGGTCAACAAGTATTTTAGGTCGAGACATTGGATGGAACATGCATAAATAAATGTCTTCCTATTGGACTAAGCAACCCTAGCCAATTTCGTAGTTTCTTATCACCATCTACCCTACGTAGTAATTACTTTAGGGCAACCCATTTCCTATATATCAAGGTAACCTATAAGATATTTTACCGACCATGCTTATTCTTGTATGGACCATAGATCATCACAATGGTGATTACCAAAAATTCCTAACAATTCATTCATGTACCAATAATCCACTAAAGATAAAGCTTAATGATATTTTTTTATTCTCAATAAAATCAACAAATTTTAATTTTATTCTCTATAATTTTTTTTAAAAAATTTATAAATATTATTTTTTATTCTTATAAAATAAGTAAATTTTAATTTTAGTTTCTATAAATTATTTTTTTTATTAATTTTATCTCTAAAAATTTAAAGTAACTATTTTAGCCTTGGCTTCTCTAACAAAATATGATAATATAAGACTTTTCTAGTGTTAAGACACAACAAATATTATGATTTCCTATTGTATATCATGCACTCAAAACATGACTTATCCCTATTTAATCTTAAAAAAGAAATTACACATTTTTAATATTTTGCAAAAAAAAATAAAAATAAGTCAAACTAATCTGATACAAAAATAAAATCTAAGCCAATGTTTGGTATGAACAAATTGTAGATGAAATAGAGTACAACAATGAAATGAACGTGAGTAAAATGATACTCATACGGATGAAACAATGAAGTTAAGGAATTAAAAAGGTTTGGTTTCACGTAAAAATAAACAATACATACTTTTAGAGTAGTATATTTGAATTTAACTCAACTTTATAAAACTAACTTGTAAGGTGAAAGTTATTTTTTATTTATATAATATTTAATTGCTTAATCTCTAGTCGATATGAAACTTAAATTTTTCTCAATACACCTCATGTCTAACACTATTGGACTTAGTACATAGATAAATGATGGGTGATCCTTTTTAATGATTTAGGATATGTGACCGTTTTTAATGATTTAGGATAATTCTTGTATCATCTTATAATAGTGAATTTGAGGCTAATTAAACACTATAAAATCGACTTGTAAGATGAGAGTTGATTTCCACTTATATACTATTTAATTTCTTAATCTTTAGTCGATGTGAGACTTAAATTTTTCCCAATATATACTTAAAATAAAATTTGCAATCGATTAATATAACAATCTGCTAGATCGTTATATATATTTAATATAGTTCAATTACTACACAATAGAGTTATTAAACAACATTCAACTTGTAACGCCCAATTTATATAATATTAAGCATAATATTAAATTTTTTTTTATATAGATTTTTAACACAACTATATCATTAATAATATTATACATAAAAACAAAGAAGATTTTGTGAGCTTGTTTACATATAGTTAGCTTATAATTACATTACATACTATTCTAAAAATATTTCAACATTATACTATTTTACACATTATTTATTTCTTCCACTTCTATTACGGTATTTACATATTAGGTTAGAGTCCAGCGCTATAGCACTACTGGCGACAATGGCTTCGGAAGGGGAGGAAGAAAACGCGAATCAACGGTGTACGAAGAAGGTCAAAACGAAAATAGGTGAGAATTTGGATTCGTCATTGGAGAACATCCAAGGCCAACCACCAATTAGCAATGAGAAACATATTCGTTCTTATGCTGAAAGTTTGATGGAGTCCGATGGGGATAAAAGTGTTACTGATTTCAACACCATGCTGAAGGAGATGGATGTCTATGGAGAATTGATGGCGGAGGAGAATGACCAAGATATGACAGATAACGCAGATCTGGATCATGTCCTACCATCAATGTTAGTCAAGAAGAATTTGAGGAATGGTGCTCTCCTTGGAAGAAAGCACTCGTCATCCAGGTCCTGGGCAAACGCATCACTTTCAAGGCTTTAGAGAATAAGGTGAATAGAGATTGGGTGAAGTTAGGCTCAGTGCGCATGATTGACATGCCCAACGACTTCTTCCTTGTTCAATTCATGGAGGAGGAGGATTATAGACATGCGCTGTATGATTGTCCTTGGATGATTGCTGACCATTACATTTTGGTTCAGCGGTGGAGACCTTTCTTCACTCTAACAGCAAATAAAACCAAAAAGGTTGCAGCCTGGATAAGGATCCCTGGATTGCCCATTGAACTTTATAATGATCGCTTTCTTTGGAGGGTGGGAAGCAAGTTGGGGACAATGCTAAAGATTGATAAATTAACCTCTATCCATTCTAGGGGTAAATTTGCTAGAATCTGCGTTGAAGTTAATCTCAACAGAAGGTTGGTTTCAATGATAAATGTTTTGGGGCACATTATAAAATTAGAATATGAAGGCCTTCACTCGGTTTGTTTTAATTGTGGCAAGTACGGGCATAGACAAGATCAATGTGACGTTGCGGCAGGTCCAATGAAGTCTACGAACAATGAGGCTCCCAAGAAGGATTCAGGAAACATGGAGGTAGATACAGGTGAGCGCCATGCAACATCGAACGAAAGTCTTCCTAGGGTTACGCACAAGCCCGTAACTGAACAAGAAAATCTTGCGGTTACTACGCAATCTGAACAAGATTCCGATAATCTTTATGGGCCCTGGATGCTAGTTAAACGGAGAAAAAACTCTGGTAAGTTTCGATCCTCTCCAAAGATTAAGGAAGATTTTCCCCTCCACATATTGTGCCTGACTTTAAGAGCATAAATATTATTGAAACAAATAATTCAGTGGACGCGAATTATCACGCAACCTCTGACGTAGTGGGTGAAAGCATTGTCCAATCACCAAAAGAAACTACAAAGCCACGTCAGCACGAAGAAGCCTCTTGCTTTCCTAATGAACCCAACGTGCCTAGCGCCATGCAGACCACACATATCTCGCAGCCTTCTCAGAACCCATTACCCATACGAACTGAAACCCGTGTGCGCAACCCACTTGCTGGGAAAAATAAACAATCCTCTCGAGGTGGTGCGAGACACAATAATGATATCCCGGTGAATACTGAGAAGGGCCAATTTAAAGAGCGTGCTAACCCTCCTCTCAAGGCAATAAAAAATATCCTTAAAGAAGTATCTACTACTACAATTTTAAATCAACAAGAGAACTCCAAAATAGTATTTGAAGGTTTACGATCAATAACGGACACAACTAAATCACAGTTGTTCATGTAGAGTATACCTACCAGAGTGTATATACCGGATGATGAAACTCAAGTCTACGCAGAAGCGCTACGAAAGCACTTTGACCCAATCACAAAGTGTAACCCTAATGATACTATTAGCCAACCTTTGTTGAAGACAGAACATGATGAAAGGTCTGGGGTTATACAACCCACCAACACCAATAGTTCCCAATGAATTGTCTAAGTTGGAACTGTAGGGGTGCGGGGGGTAGAGGTTTTTCTTCCTTGGTGAATGACATCATTAGGGAGTATAATGTTGGACTCTTATGTCTTATGGAAACCCACATTAGTGGGGATCGTGCATGGAAGATTGCTCGAAAAATTTCACTTGACAAATGTTTCATGGTACCAGCTCATGGTCGAGCAGGGGGATTATGGTGCATGTGGGACTCGCACAGATGGTCTATCAACATCTTGGAGCACTCTACGCATTTCATTCATATCAAAATTAATGGAGGAGATTTCCCATGGTTTTGCACCCTGGTTTATGCAAGCCCACACCCACAAGGTCGTATTCTGCTTTGGAGGGATATTATTCGGTTGGCTAATTTAGTGGATGGAGCATGGTTAGTAATGGGTGACTTCAATGCGGTCCTACAACCCCATGAAATATCAGGAAGCACAGGCCAATCCTTCCTTAGAGGAGACCAAGCTTTTAGATCATGCATTAACCAATGCAACCTAATGAATATGGGTTATAATGGGGCTACCTTTACGTGGCGTCGTGGTAACCTTTTTGAACGATTAGATAGAGCCTTGGTGTCTTATGATTGGTGTGTCAGGTTCCCAGATGCTTCCCTTTCACATTTGAACCCCTTAAAGTCTGACCACGCCCCCATCCTCGTAAGATTATATGCGAATAGAAATGTTCGAACCCCTCGACGGCCTTTTCGTTTTGAGGCTGCATGGATGACTCATGAAGAATATCCGACCCTTATTCGTAATGTGTGGGATGCCAACCTGGAATGGAATCAGCGGATAAAAAATACGAAACAATCCTTATTAGAGTGGAATAAGTCCACTTTTGGGAATGTCTTCTTTGCAAAACGAAAACTGCTCAGACGTTTAAATGGGATTGCTAGAGAATTACTATAAGGTCCTAATCACTTTCTTGAGAGATTGCAAACAAAACTATGGACTGAACTAGATGAGATACTCAAGAGAGAAGAATCATCTGGTTCCAAAAATCCCAGTGTAAATGGCTGGGCTTGGGGGATAGAAATACTCGGTATTTCCACGGCACTACCATTGCTCGACGGAGAAGAAGTAAAGTAGATAAACTGATGAACGACGATGGGGAATGGGTGGAGCACCCAGCTGAATTGGAGAGAATGGTAACCTCCTTTTATACATCTCTTTTCACTAATGAAGGGATTTCAACAGCGTTCTGCTTGACCAATGCATTCCCTAGATTAAGTGAGGCGGAACTTTCTACCCTCGGGGCACCTATAAGCAATGAAGAGATACACCATACAGTGAAGCATATGGGTGGTTTCAAGGCCCCCAGCCCTGATGGACTTCAAGCAGTGTTTTTCAAATCTCATTGGGATATTGTGGGAAATTCTGTTTGCCAACTTATACACGATATTGAAGTTGAACCATGTAAAGTTGCAGATATCAATGAGACATTAATAGTGCTGATCCCGAAAGTGGAAAATGTTTCCTTCTTAAAGCAGATGCGGCCTATCGGGTTGTGTAACGTATCATACAAAATTCTAACTAAAGTCTTAGCTCATAGACTCAATCAGGTGATGGAGAAACTAGTCCATCCTAACCAGTGCAACTTTATCCCGCACAGACAAAGAAAAGAAAATATTATCATCTTTCAGGAAGTGATTCATTCTATGAGATATAAATCAGGAGCTAAATGATGGATGGCAATCAAAATTGACCTGGAGAAAGCCTACGATAGGTTGAAGTGGGACTTTATGAAAGATACCCTCCTAGATATTGGCCTACCCCAACAGTTTGTAAACATTATATGGGCGTGCATCTCATCCCCAAGAATGCACATGCTATGGAACGGGGAAGCCCTTGATGAATTCCTACCCTCTCGTGGCGTTCGTCAGGGGGACCCGATCTCTCCGTACCTGTTTGTCTTGTGTATAGAGAGACTCCTACAACTTATTTCGAAAGAGGTTGAAATGAGGAGATTGAAACCTATTAGACTGGCGAAAGACGGCCCTCCTCTTTCTCATCTTGCTTTTGCCGACGATCTCATCTTATTTGTCGAGGCTTCTATGGATCAAGTAGGGGTAATTCAAGCTTGTCTTGATAACTTTTGTGCTAGCTCTGGTCAAAAAGTCAGCTTGGAGAAGACCAAGATTTTCTTCTCTAAGAACGTACCCCACACTGTGAGAAATGACATCAGCTCTGCCTTAAGTTTCCAACGCACTGAAAACCTGGGGAAATACTTGGGAATTCCTGCTCACCACTCCCGTACTCGACGGAATGACTATCAAAGTGTGATCAACAGCGTAACAAAGAGGTTAAGTGGTTGGAAAGCATCTACCCTCTCTTTTGCAGGGTGACTCACCTTATGCAAATCAGTCATCGAGGCCATTCCATCCTACACAATGCAAACAGTCCATATGCCTCGGAGCATCTGCGATGATGTGGACAAATTAAGCAGAAACTTCCTTTGGGGTGATAGGCCCACTCATAGGAAGATTCACACCATTAGTTGGGATAAAATTTGCAGGCCCAAAGAGCGCGACGGACTTGGGCTACGGTCACTAAGAGAAGTCAATAACTCCTTTATGATGAAGAATTGTTGGAGTTTAATTACTGAACCCAATAAGCTTTGGGTGAAAGTGATTCGTTCGAAATATAAGTGCCAGGATGGAGTAATTCCCCGAGTTGAGAAGAAGGCGAAAATGTCAAATCTGTGGCAAGGTATCTGCTTGAATTGGAAGCACGTCATGATGCATGTTAAGTGGCGAGTAAAGGATGGTTGTTCTGTTCGCTTCTGGTTTGACTCCTAGTTGCCTCAATACGAACTTCTCATTCAACATGCAACCACTTATATTCCACCTGTTGAACTTTTTAGGAAGGTCCGAGAATACATGACTGAACAGGGTTGGTGGATGCTTGAGTTTCTCCACCCATGGTTACCTCGGGAGGTTTTGAACAGCATTACAACTCACTCTCCTCCCATAACACTAGTACAAAAGGGGTCTTTTACATCGGCTATTTTAAGGCTTTTACGTCAGAAAAAGCTCCGACGTTAATACGGGAGACGTAAATTTACGTCACCTCTGAGAGACGACGTAAATTTACGTCGGATATGCCTATGCCCGACGTAAAAAGGGCCTGAGATTTTACGTCGGACCAGCCCTTGTCCGACGTAAAATCTGGCATTTTTAAAATTTTTTTTAATTTTTGATATACCCATAAATTCCATTAGGTTGAATGTTTTTTCCTCTTAGGTCATATATACAAAATTTTATATTAATTCAAGATGATTTAATACTTCATTCTTATAAAATAAAATTGACGTAATATATACATTTCAAAATATATTAAAATATGCACATTTTGATACCTTCAAGTTATTGTTTAATTTTAACAAAATTTGATATAAGCATTTAAAGTGATATGAATTTTCAATCTAACGGTTGGATTTATAAAATTTATATTTAATATAAAGTTATTGAGCAGTGTAATACTTAGTAAAAGTTATACCGGTGTTATTATGACCCTCCTCTCTCTCTCTTTATATATATAAGGGTAGTTTTTTTTTAATTATATTATTAAGCAGGACGGGGTGGG